TAACCCACTCCTGACAGAGGCTAGTCACATCTATTGTCTTTAAAAACTGTAATACAAAAGCTATGCAACTCTGCAAATAAGATCCAGGGTTCCACTATAACAACTGGAATAAATATTCTAGAGCCAATCTTAACTCCCTGTCTTACAATTTTAAACTTTCTTTCTTGTCATAGTCGCAGCTGAACAGAGCGTGTTTCCCCTTTGCCTCTGCACCTATCCCACAAGAAGTTACAGACCTGGTATATTCTCAGTTCCAATCCTCCTTTCTTCCTTCTCTGGACTGAAGAATAACATCACTGGCATAGGAACTGCATTGCAGTTGTTCAAAACATACATAGTCCTTTTCAAACATGTAGCCGAGGTAAATGACACAGATCCATTTCTCTTCAAGCACTGAATAAGCAAAGCCTAAATTTAAACTTGCAACAGGGGATCCCAATTTGTTCCCTGCACCAACTTATATCTGCAGCCTGTGTTGACATTATCCCTTTGGACCACAGGTAGGTGAGTAGGTAGAGAACATCAAGGACTATATATCTCCATTGGCACAAGCACAGGAAACCAGTTTTCAGCCCTCTGTGTACAGAAACTACGTGGGAAGGTTATGTGGGTGTGCAAGACCGTCCCTTAATCCCATTTGTCTCCCTGCTGGATGTGCAAGGTGGCTCAGGTCTTCCCAGGAAGTCCTGATCTTACCAATGACATTCATTTTCCACGCAGCTGCTTATCCTACTTCATGCCAGGAACACTGATTGCTTTTTCTTGGGGAAAAAAACAGACCCACGGATTTGAGTTCACTCCAACAACCGGTACCTGGCACTAAGCTTGCCAGCACTGCCCCAGGGAGAGTTATCCCCCAGCTGCCAAATCTGGTAGCAACAACAAAACCGTGCAGGGAAAAAGCGTTGATAGCAAGCTAGACACCAAATCACTGTCTCCACAGCCATGCCTGGGAACTGCTGTTTTGCCTTGTGTTCACAGAAGGACAGTTGTGTCATAGTTTAAGGTAAAAATTCATAACTTAATCTAAATTAGTCTGGATTGGTACACACATCCCAGGTGTTATGGAAAAAACACTGAAATGTACAAGTAAATCATAGGAAAATATAAGCTGATATTAGGATACAAAAATTAAAACCCAATATTCAAGAGATATTTCTGACTAAGGGAAAAATCAGTGCCATTTAGTAGAGTTTTGTAAAACCTCAATTCTTACAACCGATGTCAGAAAAAGATGAGTTCAAACTAGAAGAGGTGCATGGAAATGCCAGTAAGATGAGAGGGAACAGAAAAGCCATCCTACAAGAGGATCTTCTTTTATTTAGTTAAATGGCCACACTCTATAAATACACTAATAGGATGACACCATAGGAGGGAACTATTTAAAATACAAAGTTGTTACAAAGAACACTAGTTGAGGTATTATAAATGTTGAATAGGAACATGCCATCTTAACTGTTAAGGACATGTATCAAAAGTTTCTCCCCATTACAGACTAGGAATAATTTGAAGCTGAATACTTATATCCACATCTCACAAGCTTGGATCTAACAGATCTTTAGATAGCTTGAAAGCTACTGCAAAACTTTTCAGTGCTACAGCCACTACCTGTCCTCATGTTAAACATGATCTGTGATCCCTACAGTCACGTCAGAAGCAGCTTTAAGGCAGTTGGTAGAACTTCCAAGTTTGTTTTTAAATAGTATACCTACACTTTGACCAAATGGCTTCCAACATGAAATATGGCCATCCTACTGTCCTTTATGCATAAACTCCCTCACCTTCCAGTTCACAGTCTTCACCTACAAGTCAGTGTAGCAATTCCACTGCATCAGATGAATTTGCTTATTCCCACAGGCATTTATGAGAATTATAAAGAGGAGATGAACTAAAATAGCCTTTCACTGATTGTCAGCCTCCTCCTTTCCAGAATTCTTCAGCCAAGAAGGCAGCTCTACTTTTTCCACTGCACCTTGCAGAACATGCATATGGACAGATGATAATGCTCCCAAGGACTAGCTACTAAGATTTATTTTCCAAAATTCATGTTCCTATTCTTCTCTGACAACTTTAGCAAGATTCAGTACTTGAGAGTTAACTAGAAACAAACCTAAGGCTAGCAATGCAGAGAGAAGCTCTTACCCCTTCCTCGCCTGTGCTATTTCTCAAATCTGATCATATTTAGAAACTACTTAAAAAAAAAAAAAAAAAGTATTTTATAGCATGCTGGAAAAAATTACCCCCATTAACACACCACTCCTGCTAACCCTAACCCTATCCAACATACATCTGTTTGATATGTAGGTTTCAAACGAAAGATAGCACTGTCTAACAAAAAAAACCCAACCCACCACCACCATATAATCAGAGGTGATTCTCTCATGTAAGTGTTGACATAAAATTACAAATTGATTAGAAAAACAACAAGTATTTGTTCAATCTCCTGTGGAACTCCAGGTCAGAGACATACAACCATTTCACATTTGTTTCTAGCTTCAATCATAAAACAATCACACCTTCCAATGCTCCTGTTAAAGGAAAACTTTAAGTTTTGGAATACCTACTCTCTCCCAAAACATTTTAACTGAAGCTAAAGATCTTCAAAGAAAAAGTAGGCTTGTGCTATAAACTCATCACCACCCATATTGTTTTGCCCCTGAATTGAAAGACCATACATATTCAACAACTACACTGAGGACTTAACTTAAAAAGACATCACTTGGAATTTCATATATTAAGCCGATGGAAAACTAACAGTCACCCTTTCTACTGATGCTTGTCCTCTCCAGACACAGGCTGCTTGCAACAGTTGCACAGTTTAATTACACAGATGCACCATCCTGGCAGCACACAGACATGCTCTGTAGTGAGTTATAAGTCATCTGAACTGTCAGGCTAATACAGCGATGGTAGATGTGAATCCAACACAAGACCAGCAGTGCACACCCAAGGTGTAGGCATTGTTGGGAGCATATAGGCACATAAAAGCATAGGGGTTTTTTGCAGTTCACAGCTAAAGCAGCACTAAGTTTTGTCTAAGTCTACAAAGCTAATTGCCAGGGAGCATCCACACTGCCACAACCAAGGTTACTTACTGTAACCAGACTTTACATTAAGCCCAACATTTTTTCCACTGTAAACTGGGTTTATCTAGTGTTAACTATTTCAGAGTGAAAGAAAAATCACAGATGAGTATGAAACCTAACATAACATGGTGGTGTAAAAAATCACATCTCTGTTTTGAGACCTGTTAAGTCTGAGGTGATAACACAAATTCACTACAAAACTCAAGAAAGACTTCTTAAAGACAGATCAACTACAAAACTAAGATAAAACAATCTAAGAAACCCCTCTCATACCTGTTGCTCTACCATCTCACCAGTGAACTCCTGAGCAAACTGACTATGTATGCTTTAGTCCTAATCTTACTATATAAGTGATAAGAGTACAAAGCTTCCAGGTCCTTTAAAGAAAAGTTAACAATGTCAATATTGATTTCACCTCTGCTTGGCTCAGAACTACTTATAACCAGTTCTCTTGAGCTTCTAAACCTCAAGGAACTAGTGCAGACATCTAAATCACATTATATGGGTTCTGGACTTCAAAAAGCAGTCTTGCTCTAATAACAAAGCACGGCTTATTTAAGTAAATGAGTAACTGTTTCTGTTTGCAGGAAAGAATACATAGAAGTGAAACAGGATTTTTCTTTTTTTTTCTCCAATTGCTTTTTTCACATTATGAAATTTATTGTGTGTTTATCACATTCAAAAAGCATTGACCAGTGGGGTTTTTGGGTAATTGTTAGAATGCCAAAGTAAAGCTGGTATATTCGGAAGCTTAACTAGCACCTAAGAGAGATGACTGTAAATTTGAACAGCCATGTATTTGACACTTTAGACTTCCAATAGTTTTGTGGACACAACAGAATAATTTCAAAAGGTAAAAAGAAACTGAATGCTTTGGAAAGACCAGACAGTATCATGAATATATGAAATTTAAATTAAAAAGATTTTAAGGGTTTGATGATTAAATCCTTACCCCCATTTTCACATCTGTTTAAAATCTAATTTCAGTCTAAGCTTAAGTTTTTACATGTCATGATTGCCTACATGGGCAATTATGGAAAAAACAGGATGAAAACTGCTTTGGGATGAACGCTGAGAGATTCTTCACAAGGCATTGCAAGGCTGAAACAGGAGTGGGTTGGAGAGGAGACAGTAATTCAGTAATTCACATGGTCAGGTAAGGACCAAAACTAGAAGAAATAAATAAATAAATAAATGTAAAGTCAGTTGCATGAAAATGCCCCAACATTGAGCAAAAGACATGCAAGAAAAGCTGCAGTACCAGTGGAGAGTGGGTCTGATTAGGTTTTGATAGATGGGAGTAAACTGAAAACATTTCCCCACTGTGTAAGTGACATTATCCACAGTCTTTATTCAAATATATGGAACAAAATCTAATTAAGGGAGAAATTTGATAAAACTTTACAGAAAGCCCTTTACAGAGCCAGGTTTGAAACAAAAGGGACAGACGATTGCTTACTCTCTAAATTAAGACTGAAGTATACCAATAGTACTTTGCAGCAAGTAGTTATCTTTAAGAATGCGTGAAAAAGGACAATTTACTTTTTAAAAGGGTGTCCTCAAAATCCAACATACAGATAAAGTACTCTAACATCCTGCATTATCTTTTTGTTTTCAAAGCTTTTTGAGAAACACACACAAATAATTCAGATTTAGTCAATTTTATTTACAGTTTGTTTTTTTACATTTCAGAGCATTACACAATTACATATTCTCATTTTCTGACCTGCAAACAGATACCTTAAACGGAAATATTAAAAAAAAAAAAAAAAATGAAGTTAGATACATCCAAAAATGCAACAATTACACATCTGACAATTCACAAAGTGTAATTTACTAGGACGTATCCTAAGAATTTAGGAACAACCAGTCAGGAGAAAATCTGACCAATTTCAGCAATCAATTATTTACACATTCAAAACAAAGCCTCTCTTAATCTAAACCTCCAGGCAAATGGCCTGAAAGATTTCTTCAGGAAGAAAGACCAGAAGTTATGATTCACACCTATGCAGCATTAACAGCCCTTGATCCCAAATACTGAGTGACTTCTCAGCTTTGTCTTAGAGCTACAGGCATCCCTCTCAGCTTCTCAGACCCTGAAGTGTTATATTTGTGCCCCCATGTGCATAGAAAGGTTGAGTGTTTAAGTGGTCACTATGATAAAACCCCATTTAATCTGGTCTTTAAGTTACACGAATTCTTCTTCCTTGAAATTTCAGCAAGTCTTCTAACGCCATTTAAACTGGCCTGTGTGGACTGGGGCATGCGTGCCTAAGATGTTTAAGCATGCTTTGAACCAATTTGCACTGGCCAGACTAAATACATTAGAGACTTAAAATAATCTTTAAAGACCATTTAGACAAGGCTTACATTTCTACACTTCCCTGATGGGCCACCTAATTCAAACCAAAAAAAAAAAAAAAAAGTCACAGCTACTACTTTCATCCCTTGTGTTAACCTTTTGCCACACAGCAACTAGTCATATACTGGGTAGAAACTACTAAAAAATTCCCTGCAAATAAGCTGCCTTTCAGCTGAGGCTATGGCTCCTATGCATTGGGTGTTTGAGGAGGTTTTTTTTTCTTTAAAAAAAATTCTCACTTGAAAAATACTGAAGTTCTTACTTTAGGCTAATTCTGATTGCATGTTCAATTTGTTTAACTGTCAAGAAACCGCTACAAATGGAACAACTTTAGTATAAAAAGAGCAGTCAACCGAGTGCAACTTCTGACTTGGCAAGTCCTTCATGGTACTTCTCTAACTAGGCTATGAATTTTGTGGAGCCTCCAGATTTCTTGCCTACCTTACTTCCCATGTTTCACGTTTCAAACTGTGTCAGCAGGGCCCGAACTTCGGGAGTCAGCTGCTTAGCAGCTTTAGCTGCCTCTGTGACGGCCTTGCGGTAAAGACCCTTTCTCTTCTTATTAAAGCGCAACTGGAAGCTTTCTAAAAAGGGGGATAGTTGTGCAAGAGCAAGAAAAGATGTTGTTGTGGAGCCAAACCATGAGATACGAGCCTCCTGTCGAACTAAAAGGCCATTATCTTTCCGGCTCACAGTTATAGTAAGAATACGGGCTGGCCACCAAGGGAAGCCATAAATCTTGGCCCAAACAATGTCCCCTACACATACGGTCCTGCCATCTGGTGTGACACATTTAGAGACATTTTTGGAAAAGACTTCAGTTTTCAAGGAATTACTGAGCTTTTTCTCTTCCTTTGAAGAGGAGGAGGAGGAGGAGGAAGGTGCATGCATGCTGCCTGGAGGAAAATCAAAGCTTTCAGTAGAGCTACACTCAGAGTTGGTAGATTTCAAATCATCTGTGCTATCACTACTACAAACTGATGCACTGGAAGAGTCAGATTTCTTTTGATTAAGGGTCATGTAAACCGTTATATTGCTTTTGCTGCCTCTCTTGCCCAATGTCTGGTGTTCATCCTGATCAACAGTTACATGCACTTCACTTGTGTCCTGAACCTCACTGCTGGCCTCTTCAGGGCCTTCTGAGGGGCTCTGATTTTCTGAAGGGGCCTCACCTGCTGAGCGGGTGGAGGAGCAGCGAGACTGGGGCTTAGTTGCCATCTTGCCGCTCCGTATTTTCTCAAGTCCTGTCTTGAGAGAAGAGTCATTTTCTTCATTCCGATACCTTTGTGGCTTTAAACGCAATCGGGGTGGGAGGGAACCTGAGCTGGTGTTCTGAAGACGCCGTGTGAAGTGGACCTTTGAATGTGCATTTTTGGAAGAGGAGGTTGCACTCTGCTTCTTTTGTGCCTTTTCTTTGGCCATTTTCAAGACTTCCCGAGCTTTCGCATGATCCATGTTTTTGCTCTGGAGAACTTTTTTTGTATTTAACTGCGCTTTTGAAGTATTTGCTTGTGCGGAAACTTTAACTACTCTGCTTCTGCTGTGGGCAATATTTGAAACCTTGACCACAGCATTCCTTTTCTGGCTTTCGTTTTGGCTTTTTCCATCCACTTTATGGTCAGTCTTAAGTTTTTTATTCACAGTAGTCACACTCTCATTTCTTCGCTTTTTGTTATCCTCATATTTTGAAGAGTCACTTGCATTGCCACCTTTTTTTATTTCCTTTTTTTCTGCAACAACACTGTTTTTGCACTTGTCACACAAGACCTGCCGGGGTCGTAGTTTGATAGCATTCATGATAGAAGTGGGTTCCTCCCTATACATTTTACGCTTGGGCCGCTTAATTTTCCGGGGCGGAGGCTGAGGTATTGACTGGTTATATGTGTCCCTGATAAACAAAGGAGGAGGATATGGCGCTCCCTCATGAAAGAGAGGAGGTGGTTTAGAAGTCCATAGGCTTTTAGCTATGCTAGGTTCTGATGGCTGTGTGAGAGAAGAGTCATCAGGGACTGCAGCATTAGATTCACACTTCACCTGGGCCTCGTCTTGGAATGGTTTACTTTGGAGCTGCATGGCTTCAGGTTTATCCTTGTATTCCCTTTTAGGAAATATGGTCACAGGGATTCCATGGGGTCCAAACCTTAAAGAGAAGAAAAAAAAAAAAAAAAATTAAAGATTTTGAGGGATTGTTTTGCTTCATTTATTAAAAAGCATTTGAAAACCTGTCCACATTATGTAGACACGAAAGACACAAGTCCCAGGAAAGCTAAAGCTTCATATCCAGCCTTACAGTAAGCTTTGAAAAAGCAGGACACCAAAACCAAGTCAGTAGAGAACATGAAGTACACAACTTCACTTAGTTTCTCTTGCATCAACAAGATGCCCTGAAAATGTAATAAAAAAATACCACCTAGACAGCAGTAAAAGAATTAACTTTGTACTTTTAGAAAATGCTTATAAGTATACAAACTACACACTCATCCCATCAACTCCAAATCTACATAAGATTAACTTCCATACTAAGTCAGCTTGTACGAAGAAAGCATCTTCAGTAACTTTTAAAAAATTATGCCATTTTTAGCAAAGCACAACAGGTCAAATATGTTTCAGATTTAATTGAGGCAAATATGGACTACATAAATGCTTGCATTGAACAGGGAGTGCCATCATTCTTCATCCACAAATGATAAGCACTTCACCACCTGATGCAATACAGTCACAAACTGGCTAGCCTATTAGTGTAGGTTTCCTCCAGCAAAACTACCCTTCTTCCAACAGAGCAGAAACCGCTCATCCCTGATTTATGAGCAAACAACATTTAAAGCCTTTGTCTATTTTTCTCCAGACAGCTCTAGATCTCTGCTGCCCCATTTGACCCACACAGGACTTCTCACTCTGATCAGAATGAAAAACCCCAGCATGACTTGGGCATTAGCTCATCAGCTTTCCTGTAGGAACAGCAATAGCCTGGTGCCTAACATGTAACCAATACATTCTGCAAAGGGTTGTGCTAAGGGAAACATTTTATCCCTTTGCAAGGTGCCTTCTCTGGTGAGGAAATCAAATGATAAATACATTCATTTTACAACAAGGTATCTTTTAATCCCCAACACAAGGTAGGAGGCATTATAAAAGCTTTAACCTTCCTTCTGTTCCACTCCACAACGAACTGAGGTACCAGCCTTGCACAGAGCTCTCACTAGGCTGTTCACTGCTCTTGAGCTCTGCCCGACTCCAGCTCCCATACACACACTAGGGTTTAGCTTAGATTAGTTGGTATTTTAATAGTTTGACCTTACTGCAGTAACAACATGATAGACCAGATTGCAATTCAAATGCCAAATCATCCATTTTGATCACTAAACAAACACCATTATATTTATCCCACCCCCCCGACAGGAGAATGAAGTAATTATCCAAGATTTGCCCTCAGGTTAATGCTAGTTCATGTTGCTCTGCAGCTCCTCAAGTGCAACATCCTTTTAGCTGACTGAAGTTTATTTACAATCTATGGTTGCCTCTCAACTGAAGATAAATGCTGAACACTGGTTTATTTTCCATTCACACTCCAGCAAGAAACATGCAGTTTCTACAAGTGCTTACATGTTGGGTTTATATCTTCAAAAGTGGTTTTGAAAAAAAATTGTCATCATATGTGTTAGATGATTTTTTACACTGTCACCAACAAAAGCCATCACTTGTTTGTCCTTCTGCTTATCTGTTAAGCCTCTTTTTACACTTAAAAATCGCAATTGAAGCAAACAACCCATCCAAAATTAAATTATCTATCCAGCTTGCTTTTCATTACAAAATGAGAACAGAAGAATGTAGGCAACCTAAGCAAGAGTCAACCAAACAATTTAGTTGTCATAAAAAAAGGGAAGTTGAACATGTGACAGTTTAGTATCAACACAGGCACTGTTGTTACCCTGTACCTAAGTACTATTACATTCATACCACTGTACTCTGGAGACAAGAGGCAGGAGCCCAAGTGGGCAGTTAGAGCAGTCCCATCCCTACCCATGGGTTGCTAGTGAGTGCTCTTTACCACAAAATACCTCACCATCCCACAAAAGTTAATTTCTGAGGTTTGTACCCACCCCAGTTGAATTCCACATGCCCCTCTAGAAATGAGCAGGCTAAATGCAGCCTACTGAACTAGTGAAAGCTACAACAAATTACAAACATTTAACAGCTGATCCAGGCTTTTCTCCAGCCTACAGTCTGGCATTAAACCACAAGGGACTCACTCATAAGCAAGTTTTAAGTTCCCTGAAGTCCAAAAAGTCCAACAAGTGCAAAGAAGTTGCTTTTGCACAATTTTCCTTCTGCTAGGGATTATTAGTAAGTTACTCAATTCCAAGTAGGGCTTTAAAAGAAACTATCAGCTGATCATTAACAGTATCTTCAGTATTACTTGCACCAAGAACCTCAGCTTCTTTAAGAGCAATAAGATCCAGATCCCATCTTTGACCACCTCATAAAGGTAACAGGATTTGGGGAAAAGTCAATTTACTTTAAGAGTTAAGAACAAGACAGAGCAAGACCTCTATGTGCACATTCCAATCCTAAAAACCTCAAAAGTAGAACAAGACACAGTGTTGATATCAAATGGGCAAAACCCATGCAGAACACTTACAACTCTTTCACTGTCTCAGGAACTGTACTTCCTAGCCCCTGACAAGACATTCCCATAGTCCAATGCACAAGCCTTCCTTCGAGGAACGATTTATGCTGACTCCACATTAGGAAATCAAGCAGTGACCAGGTGTCCTGGGTTCAGCTACAGCAGTCATTTTGTCTCCTTCTTAGTAGCTGGTGCAGTGCTGTGTTTTTGACTTTCAGTCTGGGAACAACGCTGATAACACCGATGTTTTTAGTTGTTGCTCAGTAATGTTTACTCTGACCAAGGACTTTCTCAGTCTCATGCTTTGCCAGAGAGGAGGGGAAGCCAGGAGGAAGCAGAGGCAGGACACCTGACCCAAACTGGCCAAAGGGGTATTCCATACCACAGCACGTCATGCCCAGTATAGAAACTGGGGGGAGTTACCCGGAAGGCCAGATCGCTGCTCGGGTCGGGCTGGGTATCGGTCGGCGGGTGGTGAGCGGTTGTGTCCTTTTCCCTTGTTATTCCTCTTATCATTATTACTGGTAGCAGTAGTGGTTTGTATTATACCTTAGTTACTGGAGAGCTGTTATCTCAACTCGTGGGAGTTACATTCCTTCGATTCTCCTCCCCATCCCTCCGGGAGCGGGGGGAGGAAGGAAAAGGGGGGGAGTGAGCGAGCGGCTGCGTGGTTCCAAGTTGCCGGCTGGGCTTGAACCACGACACCAGGGAAGAAGTGGATGAAAAGGACTATAAAGAGGTTCTCCAGAAGGATCCCATTTCGCTACTTCATCTCTTTTTCTAGATTGTCTTTCTACTGCCTCACAAGCAACGCCAGTACAATTAATACTTCAAATGCACAAAAAAGCCTGATGGAAAGCCCTGTATGACTGATAGCATGAAGGCACTGAAGATTAATACTGCACCTTAATCCTTTCCTTCAAGCATCTGCATTACACGCAGGCCAAACAGCTGAAGAACAGGACAGATGAAGTGGAAATTTTATCTAAGCAGCAAACCTGCTTTAGCGAGATACAAAACCAGTACAGACTGAATCTCTGAAGCCAGAGTCTGGCTTACAAAAGGTACCATTCTAAGAAACAAACTAGAACCTCCCACCCCTGTCTTCCTAAAAATTAAGGTATTGTAGAATTAGAGAACATTCACAGATATTGCGTGAGAGCAAACTATAACTGCTGTGTCAATACATAAAGACATGACTAGTCAAGACACAGTCCACCTGAAGTAGAAGATACATTTGACAAGCCAAGAGACTGAGTATACTTCCAGCAGCTGAGCTTATGATGTTTTCTCTTTGGCCTCATCCCATAGTAGGTTGTGTTCATAAACATTCAGGTTTTAGATGATCTTTGTTTCCTCCTTGATGAGTGAAGATCTCCAGCTACGCAACTTGGAAGAATGTGAAAGATATGAAAATTAAGAAAAGAGAAGAACAGCAGAGAACCTTAAGAATGAAACAGGAGAGAATGAAGATAAGGAACAAGGTAAGAGAGTGAAGGCAAAACAAAGAATGGCCTATTTTTCTTAAAAGCAGCAGCAGAATGAAGATGTGATCTTAACAAACCTACCCAAGACAAGGCATGAAACAGCATCTAATTAATTCAACAGCAAACACAAGTGTTTATTGCATATATTAGAATTTCAGGCCCTACTTTCATACACCTAGTTGGTGGACCTTGAAGACAAATGCTTTTCATACAATCACAGTAATTTTTGTTACACCATAGGAATGCCACACATTTGTATGTTAGACACAGAAGCTGTGAAATTCGGTCCATCTACAACAACAGACATGAAGTTGGACTAAAAGGCTACCATATAAAAAAAGGTTAAAAAATCCAAGCAATGTAACTCAGTTTATCAGACCATTTACCGATCCACACTGGTCAATGACTGACCAATGACTGGCAGTAGAAAATCACTTCTTAAAAAGAAACCACCAATGAGACTACCTACATATTTCTTGTGTCACACGCTACATGTTTAAGTACTGTTAGGAATTGCCTTGTCTTTATTCTAACAACAAACTAAGTATTTTTTTAAATATACTGATCCCAAGTATCACCTGTCTCAACAATAATACTCTTCTCCTCCAGAAAACACTATCCTTGGAAAGACATACTCCAATTACTGTTTGCTTGGAAAAAACAAATCCATTTATGCATAAGTTTCAACTGTCCTTTGTACAGCCCACTCATGTTATACAGTTCTACCTCAGACTAGCTCTTGAAGGAATAGAAGGATTCATTGACAGGGGATCTAATTGAAGTGTTAGGAAAAGCAAAGTAAGAAATAGGTATTTCAACCTAATTTAAGGCAGTTCGGGAAAGCGGAGCACAGCTGCTTCACACCTATTCAAAATCAGAACCAGTTTTCCATGCTGTCAGCTTCCTCTCCGATAAAGGTATATCCTAGCTCTTTTTTGCTTTGAAAAGCACCTCTAAAAGACAAGACGATCGAGACCCATTGTAAGAAACTTATCTCCAAGAAGTTTTACCAGTAACCAGTGCAATCAGTAGGATCTAATTATATTTCTGCTATACATATCACTTCAATCTACATATGCATTAAAGACATAAATAGCAACAGGAATATCAGGAGCTATATTTAAATGAAAGACTAATGAGGTAGACAAGATCAAGTCAGGCAGGCCAGTGATCTTTACACTGAAAAGAGCTATCAATTGACTAGGGTATGCAGAGACAGAAACATGATTAAAAGTCAGGTTTAGTTCCACAGTTTGTCAACTGCAAATTAATGAACAGGTAGCCATGGCATCTTTTGTAACTATGTATAGCTAGTTTGGGTATCAAACCTAGAAGCCTGTCACTTAAAGCTGCACAGATCTGTATTGCAGATCTGCATTACGGATATGTAAACTTAACTACTTCAAGCAAAGTAAAAACACTTTTTTCAAATCTGAGTTGTATAGCAGAATTACTGCAATGAATACATATTACTATTCCATTTGCATGCAAAACAATCCTGTTAAAGAGTATTTTTAAAAAAAATAAACATGAGATAAGGAACAAATATCATTTAAATTCATAACTGTATGCAAATAAACATCTAAAAAATACATCCTGGGGCAAAGTGTTTTTACATTACTATGTAAAGTCTTAAGCTCTCATCTTTAGCCTCCAATGCCTAACTTTTACTTCTCTATTAAAAGAAACAAGAAGGAAAAAGCACTTAGTTCTGCCAAGAAGAGGACCCACTGAACTGGTACAGGACTATTCCACTGCGAACACACTGAATTAACATCAACAAAGCACAGTAACTTCCAGTGTTGTGATGAGTATTAAATCAAGTCTGTTGTAAATAACCGTGTTCAAAGCTCATCTTCACTAAATCAGACTATAGCAATCTCTCATACTCAGTATCATCCTTAGTGTTTTGCAAAAGCCAAGACATGCAACAACTGAAACAACTTTTATTGCATGGATAAAAGTTCAAAGACACTGAATGCTGGAAGCATAACAATATGCTGAAATAATGTAGAGCTAAGTATATATATATTTCATGCATGTATCTAAACTAAGGGTTTAAATTATAATATTCAGTGTAATATACAATTAGAGCATAGCTATTTGAACAAAATATCTCCAAACTTTTCAAAATAACCTGCATTCAACACACAGATTATGCAATAACCTATTTTTAATATACAATTTACATGGTGTGATAAAGTATGATATAGAATACATGGCTTGGTGGCAGGCACCTTACTAAAGAAAGCATACAGAAGCCAAACTATCAACTCAATAGTTTACTCACCTCCCAAGCAATGTAACACAAAGCTAAATAGACTAGAAAATGCATATTTCACAGAGCTCTAAAAGCATGGCAAAGGATTGCAGTGTGAGAGACTCTTGGGAAATACGACATGATCAAGAATAGATATTGCCTCACCATCTCAATCTCTCAGCACCAAGAAAAATTTGCTTTAAGATACAATAAACCAAATTAAGTAACACGACAATCCACATCTAAGCAAACTAGTAGAACACTTACTCAAAGATCTTACTAATCACTATTAAGCTTAGTGTTTTTCAGGCAGGTACACTTGCCTGAAATCCAAGCTTGTTTCTGGCACACTTTCAAGCCAGAGGAAAGACAAGAGCAGGGTATGCGTAGAATTGAGTTTGACAGAGCATCTCAGGAAAGCTGGTTAGAAGTACCCAAGGCAGCAGCTGATTTTAGTAATTCCTAACCACCATCATCTGTGTCTCCTACTGCAACCACTAAACAAGTGGAAACCAACTAGTGGATACAAAACAATATGAAAGTTACAAAGGCTGTATTAGCTTACAGTACACCTCTCCACAAAGTTAGAAGCCCTTCGAAAGGCTTCAACTTCCAGGAAACCAAACCACAGAAGTCCACATAGTCAGGATGCTGATGCAGACCTTGAAGAATTATCCACTGTAGAGGCAGAAGAATCTCTACAGATTGATAAACCTGAGGAGTACGAAAATAACCACTGCTTTTCTGCCCCAAAGGGGGAAGCTGCCCCTCACCTTTTCACTGGAAGGTTTTCTGTAACTTGGAGTTCTATCAAGGATATAAAAGCAAACTTTAAAAGATAGAATACTTTAAGTTTAGGCTTCCCACTAACTATTACAATTTTACTGGCATGCTTATGAAGCTGAAAGTCTGTTAAAACTGAAATTATCTTTTAATTCTTACATCTGTTAGAATTACTAGTTTAATGTGTCAGTTGCATTTTAAAGTAGGTATTTTGCTAATATATTTGGAAGCATTACACAACTGCAAAACTTTATGATTGAAGCTGAATATATACTTCAAGATCATCCACATACCGGTCAGAACAAAGACACCTGGAAGAGAATGGTATCATTTATTGACGGATGAACTATAAGCCAATTCAGTGTCAAGATGGATAAGATTCACCAGTATAAAGAAAAAAAAATAACTAACCATACCAAAAATTTCACCTCCACCCCGTCTCTCAACATTTCAAAAGTCAAGCCAAGCAACTCTTCAAAAGCATTGGCAACCCATGCAGTTTGAGTACAGAAAAGCATACTAGAGGAGGACAGTTTAACCATTATCTTTTCCATCACAGTCCAACAAAGAACAGTGGTAGACTACATCTACTTTAGGAAAGTTTGAGCCATAATCCACAGATGCTTTATTTACCAGCAAAATCAGGACTTACTGGTTTGAGAAAGGGAAAAGTCACGCTGCTTGTACTGGCAGAAGCAGACAGGCAAGTGTTTTCAGTATCAGCAGCAGCCTGAACATACATTATACCTATACTGGCAAAATCCTAAAAGCCAATGCAGTTTTGTTAGCCATCGTCACTTTCCAAATGGAAAATTGGAAATGTTTCTTCAAAGGGCTTAGTCATTTGATAAGTGACCACAAATAACACTTAATAAAATTTTGGATGTAGACAGACACACAAGAAAAGCCATTTTCATACAGAAGCTGAAATATTACAAAAACATTGAAAAATTTAGGTTGAAAGCAACAGCACAAGGTCTTCTGATCCAGCCTTGTCCTCTAAACGAGATTAAATTTGACACTATACCATTCAGTACAGCCTCTGTCAGTCACAAGCAAGATACACACAATTTAAGCACACACACACATCTCTCCTGTGCTTTCAGTGTTCTGGGATAAAAGCAAATATCAAAGAAGGGTTATGGATATTCCTTAAATGCTAGAATTTCATCAAGCTTCTTTACACTTCTGAGAAGCAACAAGAGAACAGGTGATGAACTGGAAGAACACCTTGCAAACTGAGTGTAAGTTCAAAACAACCAAAAAACTCCATGGTCCACAACCCTACGACTTTTTTTTTTTACTGTTGAGAACATATATCATAGAACATTAGTACTTCTATAGAACTTAAACCTTCCACAGTCAAATTCAACCAAATGTTGTCCTATTTATTAAATGAAGTTATTACTAAAAGAGATCTTAAGAGCAAGGAGAAAGGTGCCACATTTTTTTTCAACTAAGACTTCTGCAGTTACCTTCCTGCATCAACTCAGGAGTACTATTTTTCCCCCTCCAACCTTTCTTGACATACACAGTTACAACACACCATGTGGAGTTTATACCAATAAAATGGGAGCATTCGTAGACCTCAAGTTTCAAGCAGCACTAAATATAAATTGTTTTTAAAGTCTAACAGATGTTCTGCAGATTGAGACAACACGAAGTAGGGAATGGATGCAATGGTTCATTATTTACCCTTATTCTTCTGCAGTAGAAAGTTCCATGAATAAATGGAGAAAAGTATAGAATTCAAGAGCTGCCAAGAAAGAATGCTGTAATTGAGAACTGCTATTAGGATTGTAAGAATTTGAAGCTCTCTGCAAGTTTATTTTCATCATATAGTTCATGTGTACCTTGCTGCAGGAAGTCCATCCTTATCTTCCACAACCAAACCCCAATTAGGATATCATTTCAAACACCTGTCTACTAGCAATACACTGGGCATCTTCTGGATATCTAAGGCTTTTAGGTCACAAAACAACTTTTTGCTCTCCCTTTCCCCCTCAAGAGCTATTATGATGACACACAAGTCAGGAGGGAAATAGCTTAGAGAAAAAGGCAACTGGAAGACACACGCGTCTATCACATTTAGGACTAGAAGGTAAATTTTAGTGAAATGAGCCCAAGTCCTTACTGCTGGCAAAACAGCAGAATATAAATTTAATCCTCCTCCTTCCCTTAATCTTTGGGAAGGGAAAGGAGAAAAAAAAAAATAAGAAATATTTGCAGAAATAATTATCCTAGAAGAGCAAACTAAACCCAGGACTTCTTAATCCTACATTTTCAGGTTTACAAATGCTATGCTCATCAGTTACTTCCTTACTGTTTACTTCCTCCAGGTGCAAAGCAAGATTTACACTAATTCTGAGCCAGCAGGTGGCATTAACATCTCATATACCCTAAGCAGTGTTACTCATGCTGGAGACAGGCAGGCTTACCAGCTCCATTTAAGCCCTAAACCTAAGGAGTAATTTTCAATGGCAGTTTGTACAATGGAATGGGAAGTTTACTACATGCATGAAGCATTCCATTATCCACTCTAACAACGTAAGACAGGATTACCTTCTCCTGCCTGCCTGATGGTTGACTGCAATTCCTGTCTCTCCCATCAGCATGACTCCATCAGGTATACACTGCAGAACTCACATCAGAACCTTACCCTAGCACGCAATAAAGCACTTAAAAGGTAATGAAAACAGCAGTAATAAAGTTTAACAGTAGGATCACTTTTTTTATTTGTGCAATAAGCCTTCAGAACAACAAAAGTGGAAATATGTCCCTCTAAATTATGATTTACTGTGTAAGAAATGGATTTGGGACTCAGCAGATGTGGGTTCCTTTCAGGTTTTCTGCTGATTTTCAGAACTTCCTGTGCAGTTGCTGAAATGTACACAAAACTGCCATTAGTACAGGCAGATAAAATAGTTCCTTACCTCAAATAACTGTAGGACTAAAGTCCACTAAACACCAAGGTGCTTGTGTTCTTGCGTTATAAATTCCTAAATGAACATCCTATTTACAGGGTATAGGAGAGGAAAACAAAACCAGACCTTTAATGCAAACACCACCGACTTCATGTCAAGGTCCACAAGAATAAAATGCAAAGTCAGTGCATCATTTCAATAATGGAAACAATTAAGGAAAAAAACAAAACCCAGAAATATATGGGGATGTTCTTGCTTTTCTTTCACCCTGAAGTACAAGTAATGCACGACAAGACTTGAGAAAGCTAGAGAGAGTCCAGTGGACAGGTTTTAAAACAGTCATTAAAACTTAGTACTGTATGGAAGTAGCACCTTCACTGCCCTGGATGGGAAAGCAGAAATTAAGATCCAAAAAGGACTAGGAATTATTTTCTTCCCAGTATACAATGAAAACAGTATTAGTACGTGCAGTGAACACATCAGCCACTTTCTGAAGCTACTGAGTGAGTAAATTCTATGTTTCACTTTTACTTAATAAGAACTGGCAGTTTTAAGATATAAACTCTTCTAATGCAAAAGGGCTCAGTAAGATTATTCCCATGCATTTGAGTGAGCTAGTGGAGACAGCTTTCTTTTTTGGTCCAGTGAAAAAACTTAGTTATAAGAATTCCAGGGCCTGCCACAGAAGGAAGTTCATGACAAATGTGAATGTTCTACAAGTCCACATGCTGCTACATAAAAAAGTTAAGAAAGAAAAGCTGATACCTAAACAGCACTACAACTCGGTCACTTACCACCCAAGTCATAAAGTCTAGAATAAATTTTATATCTTGGGTACCCATTTAAATCTTGGGATCACCTGTTTTCTGATAGTGTTTCACATTTCTTGGAGATAGCAAGTTCTTGGTTTATTTCTAGAGTTTGCTTACGACTGCATTTCCTGGTCTGGGACACCTGAATAGAGACTCCTATTTCTCTACATATATTTACCTACCACCAGGCAAATATTATGGACCCTATGTCTTGAAATCCAATTCTTCTTGTCCAGGCACTCGAAGAGCTTGGCTTTTAGGATTTAAATTTCACCTTTGGGATTCTATGATTCTCATGCCACAAGAACCTCTGAAAGAAGTCACAGATCATATGAATGGAAAGAAGTGGTTCCACTGCAAAGGAAAATCTGGGAGTAACAGCACAAGCCTTCATGTATCACTCTTGCACCGTTGTTACTGTGAAGACTTGCCCCAGGGCCTGTGCTTCAGAACAGGGGCATTGAGATGCATGCTTCCACTGAAGCTACAATGCAAAAGCCTACAGCTTGCCTGTTACACATGACCTTCACTGCAAAGGGCTGCAGGAGATGTGCACTGAAGATCCTTTTCTCATGCAGAAGAAAACCTCAGGCAAATGAGGAGACGTTTGTGGTCAATGCATGTTTAGTAAGATATGATGTCTTTCAGAAGCAAGGGTATTTTCCTTCTTCAGACATACAGACCTACAGAAGTACACAAGCATGGCCTTTGCCACTCTGCTAACCAGAGCAACAATGTGATGTGCTGATATAGCTTCAGATCTACAAAAGAATCGTTGTTAAGTAGCATTACAACTTCAGTTGTAACGCCTTCTGGCCTGCTCTGAGACATTTAAGATTTCACACTCAAAGCGAGTACAGTTTGCAGATCACATTTTAGTACTTGGCTTCAAAAGACAAACTGGTAACTTAGCATTTCAAACCACAACTACTGACAAATTTAAAACTTGCTTCCATATTATCCAGAAGGTGAGTCTCTGAAAAGGCCTTCTGTTTCAAAAATCAAAAAGATAGGTCCAGGACAAGTGTGATCCCTAATACCTTTCTTTTTAGAAAGCATTGACAATATTGATATCTCAGCAAGTTATTAGACAGTTACTAGTAATGTAAAAGGGAGTGGTAAAAGGCATATGACCACACACACAGCTTGAATTTTTTTC